CAGAACGGAATTTGCGAAACCAATTTTGACACTGTCTTCCTTTTAAGGCTTCATCACCATACACATCTCGTAACTTTTTAGCAACCTGCTCCGCGTTTTTTCCTTTACGGAAATAATAAAGTAAAATATGACGAAAATGCTCCTTTGTGGGCTCCATATTAAAATTGACGCCAAACAAACAAATGTAAACAAAATTTCGCGCACTTTTTTTCTAAAGCAAGCTAAAAGTAACAGCTGATAGGTTACAGAAGAAAGAATGCAATTACAGAGTCACAAGCCGTTGAAAAAATTTGTCAACGCCGATTACTTTTTGGGCAACCCAATAGTTTTCAGTGCGGTAGTCTTCACCACACATGATTTCCCACGATCTCGAGGTTAATTTTTGCTTTTTAATCCAATAAATTTCTGGGTTTTTTTTTTCGAAAGGTAGTTTAAAGTTAAATTGATAATTGTGTGAATATATGTCCTACAAAAATATTTCGGTTTCAGTCGTAGTGGTACTCAATCTCTGTTCATGCCTTACTGTGATTTCTATTTTGATGTATCAAATATAGGCGAATAAGACTTGGGAATTAATACATATACAATAGCAAATAAATAAAAAACACTCAATTTTATAAGTAAATAATTCATCAAAATTTAGAAGACGATATGTCGCTAACGATTTCTAATACAAAATCGCAACATGGTTTCGGTAGTCGAGTCTTGAGTGGCGTTGACAACATAGCTGTTGGCACTAGTGGTCCCTTTGTAAGCACAAAGCAAAAGTGTATGAAGCTACAGGGGCTTCAAAAGCAGCAGTCTAAAAGTAATAGTACCAACAAACAGATGCTAATAAGCCAACAGTTTTACGAACAGCAAAAGGAACGACAATATGTTAAATGTACATCAAATGCGGGGGATGTAATGAATTTTGCACAAGCCGAACAATCCAGCTCATATATGCAACTGGCATCAGCGCATGAGTTACACCAACAACGACATCATCAATCATTACAAAATGTATTATTAACAAATAAACAACAACCACCATCAGCATCATCGGCATCGTTATCACCACAGCAAACACAACGAACTTACAATAATATTAGTTGTGATGACAATAATTTAACGCAAGGTAAAAAATACCTCAGCAATCAATATCGCAACCGCAGCAATAGTAACAACATTGAGTTGTGCGTCAAGCTACTTGACAGTGAGGGCAGCGTGGAGGCTAATGCTGGCTGCGATATGGCTGCCAATCACGTGGCGAATAATTCTCTGACAACGCTTGGTGCGGCACAACAGCATGCTGGGAGTATGATGTCAATCACCAGCGAACAGCAACTCTGTCAACTGTACAATGCTCAGCAGCATTCCGATTATATAATATCGGATTACATGGAAAAGATATCCACACACATTAACCTATTGGAAACCGAATTGAAATTTGCCTGGCGTGCACTGGATTTGTTATCGGGAGAGTATAGTAAAATTTGGTCCCGTTTGGATAAGCTTGAAAGGATAACTAGCAAACAGCAATTAGTGGTGGGGAGTTTAAGGGGCTTGGTGCAAACAAAAGAAGATAAACAAAAAGAAAAGAAGATGCAACATCAGCAGCGGCTACAACAACGTCAGCAGCAGCAAAATTTTGCTGATACTGAAACCAGCGCACCAAATCTGAGTTTCATCGATATGCTGAACGATGAGCAAATATTCATGCCCAATTTAGCCGAAGCCGAACAACAATCTATACTTTTGAATGATTCCGCCGCTGCGGTGCTTCGGGATATCAATGTTGATGGCTGCATATCGCAGGAGTATGGAAATTTATTGAAGCAATTGAAAAACGAAACAATTGGTGCATTGGATGCAATACGTATGGATACCGAACTGGACTCACTGGACAAAATGTTGCAAAATCAATCGAAATACGCTTTCGGCTTAGACGAAACAAGCGACATTCGGGGACAAGCAACGAGTTCCACTGGCTACTCAAATATGCTCACACAAGAGACACACTGGGAGAATAATTACGTCGATCGCAGGTCGTGCGAACATGACAGTAGTGAATTCGTTATTGCTGATAAGTCCGAGTTGCACAAAACTGCCGAACATAATCTCAGCGCTTCTTTGGCGGCGCTTAATAGCGTGCAGCTACAGCAAATAGCTGGGAGAACACTTAAATTGAGCGAACTGAGAAAGTCACAAAGCCAACTCTATTCAGAAGCCGATCTTCTACAATATCAACAACAAATACTTGAAAACGATGCGAAAAAAGAATTATTGCAGGACTTCCTCCATAGTCGGAACTTATTGAGGCAATCTTCACAGGATGAAGGCCAAAACCAACAAACGCTGTCTTATGGATGTGGCAGTGGCTTAATTGATAACGTACATAATTTACAGTCGAATTATACTGAATTGAATATTTACGGTGTACTTCCCACCCACGAAGCAAACCCAGATTCCAAAGCGCACTCATTAACACGCATGCGACCAATAATTTTTGACGATTTGGCTGCTGAAACAACAGCTAGTTTATACGAAAAGTGTGAAAGCGAGAATGTTTCTGCCGATATCGAGGTGGCCATGAATGATTTTGTAGGCGAGATGAAGTTTTTTCGCGAAATGGCCTCTAAGCACGGTGTAGGTGGTCAAGTTGATGTGGCCATAGCAGATACGGGCGGTGACACAATGGTGCCTCACGATATTTGCAATAATATTGAAATCAGTGAAGAGTTTTATAAAGAACTTAACGAAGCATATCGTGACAATACTTTGAGTACAGAAATTTCAAATATGGAACGTTTGCTGCAACAATCGGATGCCACTCACGAACAAATACTTTGTGGTTTAGGAGCACGTGCAAATTCTGCTTTAGATATAATACGCGAAGATAATGAAGAGGGTACCGGTGGCGGTGATGGCGTGACACCAGCACCAGAGATGGTGTTAGCCATAACTAATTCCACTATCACCAGTACAAGTGCTATAACAGCAATTGTATCAGCAACAACTACTACCACCCCAGCAAAAGCAATAGCGAAGTTGGCAACAACACCAATTACAACTGCAGTTACAAAGAAAGAAAATGAAGCTAAAAAGCAAAAGAAGAAGAAACAACACAAAAACCAAATGGAAATGTTAAACGATCTGAAGAGCGCATTCTCTATTGATAGTAAGCTAAAGGCACCAAAATACCCCATTAAAGAGCAGGAATTACATAGTGGTGGTAATGTAGGAGATCGACATTCGACTGCTTCTTTTTCTGAGCATGAGTTTACAGATAAATACTTCTGCGAAAGTGAGGAACACTACTCGGTCCAACTAAATTCGGATCAAACAACTTTGCTTGATAGCACAGGGGAGATTTTGTTATTGGAAATCAATAAGATACAAGATCTAAAGGTCTTGAGCGCTAAACAAATTTTTAAATTACGCACATTAATTATGAAGGAGCAGGTGTTTTTTGAAAAATTACACCAAGTTAACGAGAATCTCTTATTGCTGCTACTGAATCCCGTCACACTGGCTGGGGAGCTACGTACGCTTGGTAATGATAAACAACGTAAATTCGATGCTGTAATGAAGAAACTAGAACGCAACATCGACACGCTAAAGAAGTTAGTCGGCAGTTCTTTCGACGACTATAAGCGAAAGTACTTAACCGATGCTGAGTTGTTGCTCTTAAAAGGCGCAGATAGCGGACACGTCAAAGGGGAAGATGATGTATCACTCCACTCAAAGAGTCAAACAAACAAAAAACATAAAAAGTCAAAGTCAAAGAAATCAATAAAGCCACCAAAACCAATATCAATCGAGAAAGATAAAATATGCGTTGTTACCGATATGAATATATCTGAACGTGATAACAGCGTCTCAAAGAAAACAGTCGTTTTGCTAGATGGTACCGATAAAGCACATTTCGACTATAGTGCACATTTGATATGGAACAATTCCGATTTAGATGAACAGCTGAAGGTTTTAGAAACACAAGAGCATGAGATACGTCTGAAGAAACTTTCTGATCCTATCATGAGCTACGCTGGTAGCAATGTGAACGAACACATACATAGCGCAAGTGATCTCACACGGCAATCAAATACATGCTACACGAACAGCGATAATTATTTAGATGATATGTATATGAATGATCGCATGCTTTTGCAGACAACGTTGACAACAACGAAACCAACACTTCAGTCATCTTTGGGACGTGCAACTTCAGTTGCAACGATTTACAACAATGACGAGTACATAAAATCACTGAAACGTAGCTTGGAGCGACACAATAGCATGCTATTTATCCTACATTTACAACATCCCGAATATCATCACAAGAACAACGCATATCAAGACACTTTGGCTGTGGACATTGACCGTATATTTTTAAATGACGATGGCAGTGCACAGAGTCCACCACCACCGGCACCGTATGACGACAACATAAGCCTGAATATAATAGACCGAAAAATAGAATCGCAGTCACAGCTTCAAGTTGAGGAGGGTGATGGTATGGATGTATTAGCAGATGTTAAAATGTCATCTACGAGTGCTTTGAATCCATTTCATAGACAGGCACATGCTCGCACTTTAGCTGGTGCTAGTGCAGCTCATTTACAATTACAACATGGTCTAATTTTCTCAGCAAAACAAACCAAATCCGACTCGGGACTATCATCGATGAGTGGCTTATCGAGTTGGGAGAAATCACCGGATTCTCCCATATATGGTGTAAACAGCAACACGGACTTATGCAATCCATTTCTCAGTAAATATCAAGGCATCAATATGGATATGTTGCTGCTAATGTCTAATGACACGCAATGTGTTAATAATAATACCAATTTACCGTTTGCGAACACAGAAGTCAATTTCGACCATTTCAATGTAGATAAAGGGTTGGATATGAACTTAAATATTGCTGATGCCGACGAGGGTACCGCTCTGGTGACAACACGTACATTAACCATTGAAACTGCGTATTCTGTCATACCAACAATAATTAGTTCCACGATAGCTACATTCTCGAACACTAGCGATAAAATCAAACAGCAAAATAACCTATCTGCTGAGGGCCAACAATTACAGCAAGAGGAAGACATTTCTGAATCCGTGGAAAAGAACTACATGTTTAGTGAAGAGAATTTAAACTACATACGGGAATTGTCTAAAAACATGCCAATATGTTCCGTATATGAGAATAAGTCCATTTTTGATTTACTGAAGGATGATGCCATGGATGAGCATATACGTACAGTTGATGAAATGCTTGCGTGGGATAACCAACAACAACATTGTCAAACACATACACTCCAAAAGAAAAATGCTGCATATTTAGTTGTTGATCCAAATCGACGCATACCAGATTTGTTGCGCACACCAGCTTTTGGAACGATACCTAAAGGCGCCAGATGTTCAACTGCGGTACACAATGGGCCGACCCAAGCACGTGAGCGTCGCCAATTGGGTCGAACACGTGAACGGTATCTTAACGATCGCTTAGCTTATTATCCGACATCGAATGGCATTGCTGACTTCGATAGCGGCAAAAACTTGGATTATTTTGATTATCGCTGCATATACCAACAAAGGCAGGCACAGTCGCAGCCACAGACACAACCACAAGAACGGGAACATTATCGTACAATTTACTGCGAAGACAGCCACTCCCCACACAACAACCAAGTGCAAAAAACGATAAGCGCACAGCAGATACAACAACAGCGGCAACAGTACTGCCTCCAAGTACAAGGGCGCTACAAAGAAAAATCCACCGCAAATCAGCATTCGCATGTACAAAAGTGTAATCATATAAATGAAAATTATTCTTGTAAGTTGCAGAAAAATTCGTTTCATCCAGTCTCACGTTACGACGTAGAACTATCCTCTTATGGCTCATTAAATGGCAATAGCTTTAGAAGCAATATGTCACGTGCTGTTAATGCGCTACCAACTGTAAAAACTAATGTAGATGGCCTAACTGGTGATGCGACTACATGGACCGGCAATGTGCACGGTAGGAGTAGTGCTGCTGATTCTGCTATCGGGCATGGCTCATTTATTATCGGAACACAGTCGACCCACCTTAAGCCGCCAAAAGTGTGGAATAAATTCACAAAGCTATTGCCTGAAAATTTCAAATTGAAGCGTTCATCTCGTCACAGCCGATCTCGATCATTGCCTATCGGCTGTGGAGACGACGCAAGAGGCAACATTTGCGCTAAATTTAAAGCAAGTGGGCAAACGGTTAAAGTAAATATCTCTAACGCACATATTATACAAAGTAGTGGTGGCGGCGACTTACAAAAAAAATCTACGCCAATAAAAACTGAGAGACAGTATAATGACATACAAAATTTGGGCGGCAGTTTTAACCTGTCAAAACGCTTCCACAAATTACCCACGCATTTGGTGCATCGTGCAACGCGTTCGAGCGTACACTCTGTTACTAGCATATCTACATCAGCTGTAACTGATAACAATTGTTTGGCCACTGGTAATGGTGGTCCTCGTGATAAGAAGCCGGTGTTCAGCAAAGGCCAAAAGAAACGATCGAGATTTTCGATGACTGTGAATAATATAGTACAGAAAGCTAAAACTGGTTATCGTCGACATAGTTTCGTAGCCCGTGGCACTTCAAGTATTTCCACAACAGATGCACCATATAGCGTTTCCGATGGTGAGACAGATTTTCCCAGCTTCACCTCATCCGACAATGAGGACTCAATAGCCAGCGACATAACGCCTAAAACTAATAACGGCATACGGAAAAGCGAGTCTGATCGTGCAACAAACGAGGGTTTGCAAAATCACTGTATAAAGGATTTAAAAATACTTCAACAACAGCAAAGAGAAATGAAGATTTTAAGTAAAAAACAAATAAAAACTGGCGAAAATGATGAAGAGGATGATTACGAGGAAGATGTGCCATCTTTTGCAGATATCAGAAATTTTTATATGGATCAAGAAACTATCCCCAATATTCAATTAGAAAAAGGAGATATTGAAGCTATGGCCATTAGCATGTTCCCGCAGATATCACAACTAGGACATAAGTGCACTACTTATACCGATGAAGAAATTGAAAATGGAAATTCAACAATATCACAGAAAAGAGCTCATCAAATTGTTGAGTATATGATGGCTAATGATAATATGAGTAATATTTATACAGTTATGAGTGATGTTAAGCACAAATTATTATATTCCGACACAGAAGCTGACAATAAGACTAATGACGCTCAAGCAAAAACTTACTTTCAAAATAGTACCTCTGTACACGTTGGTGATGAAAAATTACATTCTAATGGCGAGACGTATAAGAACATGCAAGTGGTGTCAATAGCTGTTACAATGGAAGAGGGTGCAGTAGCACCCCAACGAGTAATAACACAAATGCGTAATGACGGTAGTGAACAATCGAGCATAAACACACCATCTGGCGCGGAATATAAACTAAATGGGCATATTCAGCATACTTTGATCCCACATCAGTCACTTGATGTGCCAGTAGTTGGCTTACCTGAGGAGGACGATAATCGTAGTCAGCATTCCTATCGCACACTTTCGTCGTCTCGTCGTCAAAGCACAGAGGATAGCATTGACACCGATGATGAATATTTTTGCTACGAATTGCGACAGTTGGAAGAGTTAGAACAAAAAAATACTGAACTCGATAGCAAAAGTGATGCTCTAATAACGACAACCGGATGTGAAATCTTTGCTAATGACGCGCATTTGTTTTCACAAATTGATCAGTTGGCTTCTAACAGCAATGCACAGCAATCAAGCATAAATGATTCATATATTGACGGCGTGTGTGTCACACATGTCAATTCTGCGCTATGCGACGAATATGAACCAGATGAAAATGTCAAACAACTTATGTGTGAAGTTTTAAAAGAATTAAAATATGTTGTCAGGCTGTTACCAGCAATAGATGCAACTAAATCGGAGACGAAGGAGACTGGAGCAAAAGTCCCGAATATGAGAAGAACACAACAGTACTCTCAACGGAGCAGCTCTTCTGGCAAATCTACCAATAATTTTGAACGAGCCACCAAAGTGAACGATATGCACAGTGCTTGGCAAGATATCAACGGAGACGATTTACAAGCTAACTATTCAGATGTCGAGCCTGAAGTATGTGATGCAGCCGATATTGCTAACAGTGATGGTATGGAAGAGGTCAATACCATACTTCGTACGCAACAGCTACAGCATGTTATCAGCGGTGTTGTTGGTGGCGACGAACGGATGTTGGCACATAAACGTTTTCGCAAACGACGTGATCGTCGCCGTTCAAGCGACAATTTTAATGATAAAGACAATATTATTAATAATCATGACTCACAACGTCAACACTTGTCAAGCTCTTCGTATTCATCCGAAGAGGAATTAACCGATACGACAAAGCGGTTTAGAGAAAATGCACAAATCACACAAAGGCGTGGCAGCAGCAGCAGTGAGAAGCATAGTTGCGCCGCGTTGTCTCGAATGCCGCCTCATGACATTATCACTGAATGTTCAAGAAAGTTCATTCAAGATGATTTGCTGCTAACAACAGCTGACGATCGCACGTTTACGATCGACTACAAAATAGATAATATTGATGTTGATGCCGATGCTGACGGCGATGGTGAAGAGGCAAAAAATGTAAGTATGTCATCCGGTGCCACACTTGGTCCAGATACACCGGCTGAACTCAGTGAGGAATTGGATGGCGATCAGCGATCATATAAGACTGCACCTAGTTACCACCAATTTAAAAATAAACAAGAAGATAATGAATTATTAGATCGCGAAATAAAAATGGCTTTGAAAACTGTAGTTTTCAAAGTCGCAAATAACAAACAGTTTGACGATAATTATCATACGGCTACTGTAAATATTGACAGCAATCCTCCGGTGTTGATAGTACCTGAGCAAGATCAGGACAAAGGAAAACCATTGGTTAAATTTGAAAGAAGACTTTTATGTCACGAGTCCAGTATTGAAGGTAGCAGCGCAGGTACAAATGGAAATGCTGGTGTTCTTGGTAGTAGTAAATGGAAGCTTTTGAAAACGTTGAAAGAACGTAAAATCGAGGAGAAAAATTATCTAGATAAATCTAAAGACGACGAGCTAGTCAAAAACCGTGAAAAGGTAAGCATCTCTACTGTTGGCTATACTTGTCTTAAGTGTAACCTCTAAAAATAGTAAAATTTAAAAAAAAAGTTAAAGTTATGTTTAAATGTTTATTGGTTGCGAATTGTTTTGTATATACTCATTTAAATTCAATACAATTTTAGTATAGAAATATTGCACTAAATCTACCTAAGCCAGGTTTGAATATAAAGTTTAAGATGATTAATTTATTAAAAAGAAATCATATTTGCCTCAAAAATATACAAAGAAGCGAAATATTTATATACAAAAGGTTGATATTCACGTATATATAATTTCGAAAGCAAAAGTATATAAAAGGTAATGCAATATGCCGTCATTACCTGTTGAAGGCATGAGTGTCGATCTCATAGAGTTCTGAAAGAAAAATTTAAATTAAATAAATATATATATATATATATAAGAAATTTTATACTCACCTTGAATTGTTTACCCTAATCTGAAATACTCACCCTTTATCCACTGGAATACGTACCTTAATTTCCAATTCCTGTAAAGCAAAGAAAATTGAAGGAAAACCGATAAACGAAATTTTCCCTCCTTTCCCGTTAATCTAAAACTAAGCTAAGTACTTTGTTATAAATAATAAGCTTACAGTATTTTT